TTCTCTTCTCTTCTCTTCTCTTCTCTTCTCTTCTCTTCTCTTCTCTTCTCTTCTCTTCTCTTCTCTTCTCTTCTCTTCTCTTCTCTTCTCTTCTCATCTTCCTCTTCTTCTCTCTCGCGCTGAAATGACCTCGGGGCACGGCGAGAGCCAGGAAGGGGAAGCCTCCAGCACAGACCTGGCCAATTAGCGCTGATGAAGGAAACCCGGTCAGCCGCGCTAATTCCCGGGGACAGGCGGGAGCAGGAACCGTGGGGAGCTGGGGGAATTCCCGAGCTCTGGCGGGGACACGGGGGAGGCAACTGAAACAGCTGGAATCACAGTCCTGACAAAGGGGACACAAGGAGCGAGGCAAGACAGAGCCCCCGGGACGAGTGACATCGCGGGGATCGTGGCACTGCTCCCGGGAAGGGCCACCTGGCCTGGGACAGCAGCTCCGGCATGGGGGAAGTCTTTCCCTGCAGCCCTGGTGGGCACCGAGGGGCTCTGCCTGGCGTGGGGCTGGGACCCCAGCCCCTGTGCCCGGTGCTGGTGTGGGGGGCGAGTGGCTGTGCCCCCTCAGAGCTTCACAGCAAACTCTGAGGTGCCCAGGCAGTTCCAGATAGGGCCTGGGCTGCTCTGAGCATCCTTCACCATCCTTCTTCCTCCCCTCTGGTGCCCTCCTGCTGCTGCTTCTCCCCTTCTCCCTCTGCTTTCCCCACTGCTGGGACTCCCTGTCCTTGTTCCAGGCACCACCATGGGCAGGACCAGGGAACCTTCAAACCCCACAGGCAGCAGGGCTGGAAGCTCTCGGTGGTACAGAACAGGTCACACAGTGGTGGGGACCCCTTTGCTCCCCCTCTGGGGATTGTCCCCAGCTCCTGGCAGAGCTGGAGCATCCAGATACCACAAGTAGTGCTGGTCTCATGTCACCAACTGGTAGAGCCCTCCTTTTCAGCAGTTTTGTTTTGTGTGTTTTTGGGTTTTTTTCCAACTGATCTTGAAACTGAAACACAACAGAAAATTAAAAATTAAAAAAAAAAAAAAAAGAAAATAATTGAGCAAAGCCAGTTTTCCATTGGATCTGGGCTGAGCTGACCTGTCACTCGGCCCCAGGGAGGGCTGGGTGGGGAGCTGCAATCTCCATCAGGCTGTGCTCATGGGCTGAGCGCCAGCTCCTCCAGTCATGACTTCACCACCAAGGCAGGGGGGGTAGGAATCACCAAAAAAGCCAAGTTCACATGCAGCTCTCTCTCACCCCTTCCTTTGGGGTCCCCAAAGGCACTGGGGAGGTCACCCCGGGTGTGACACAGCCACTGGGAGCTGGAGCCTGCTCGGAGCAGAAAGCACCCCTGGGAGCTGGTGGCAGCAGGGGCTTCTCCTCCCATAAATGCCTCTGAAGGGAGGGCAGCCAATGCCATCCAAAAGCACTTGAAAATTCAAGTATTTGGCATAAAAAAATGGATCCACAGGGGCAGTGGGTGCAAAAGGCCAGGTGAGGAGAGGGGATATCCATAGCAGGGGCTGTGGTGGGAAAGCCCCCTGCCCTGCTCCCCTCCAGCCCCCCATGAAATCTCCAGGGCTTTTATTTCCCCTGACACAGCTGGCTCCTCTCACACCTCACATCCCCGGGGGGAAGTGAGAGGTGTTTCACCATCCTCCACATCCCTTCCTGCTCCCTAAAGCCACTTCCTGCCGCTGTGATTTATTATTATTATTTATAACAATAATAAAGCGTGCGTAGATGGGATAAAATTTTCCTTTTGCTGACTGAAACCTTGTGACCGCGGGGAAGGAGAGGGCGGAGGGAGGGCCCTGCTGGCCCTTGGGGACTCGGGGCTGCCAAAAGTTCTCATCCATCACGTGGAGAGCAGGACCAGCCCTCAGGCGCTCTCTGGACAAAACAGCAAGTGGGGGGATTTTGCCCTTTGGCAGCCTGTGTGACCTCGGGGTGGCCTCTGCCATGAGCTGTTGGAAGAACACTCTGTGTCTGTCTGTCTGTCTGTCCTCCCTGTGGCACAGAGCCCTGTCCCAGCCGTGCTGGTGGCCGGGTGCCCGAGGAGATCAGTCCCAGGGCAGCAGCCAAACCTGAGGTCATGGGGCTGGGAGAGGGAGGGCAGGGGGGAGAGCAGTGCCAGGAGGGGTGAGGGCAAGCCAGACAAGGATTCTGGGCACTGCTGTAGGACAGAGTGGCTGGCAGGGCTCAGCTCCAAGGGGTGTCACACAGCTCCCTGTGTGTCCCCTCTCCTGAGCCCCCCACACCCTGCTGGAACTCGCTGTGGCCCCTGCAGGGCTGAGGGGGGGATTTGCAGGGTCACTGTCACCGAGCTGCTGGTGGCAGAGCCAGCCCTTGTGCCATGTCCCTCTGCAGGCAGGAACATCCCTCTGCTCCCCCAGAACCCAGGGCTGCCCCCCAAACCATCCCTGGAGTCCCTGGAAGCACCGAGCTGGGCATGTTCATTCCCTCAGGGACACCTGCAGCCCCATTAACCACAGGGAGCTGGGGAAAGGCAGAGCTCTGTGAAACCCCCACCCAAAAATTGGCCAAGAAAAGCCAAAATGCTCCTCTGGCAAGGTACAGGGGCTGCCTGTGCCCAGTGCTGCCTGCCTGCCCCTTCTCCCTTTGGCACAGGACAAGCAGCCGTGCCCAGTTTGGGGGTTTTGGGCCTCCCTCCCCTTGAATGGGCAGCAATGCTGAGCCAAACCACCCCAAGCTTTTCTGGGGCCTCTGGGAGCAGGAAAGGGAACAGATCCAGCTGTGCTGGGGTGGCTTCCTCTCGTGGGGACAGGGATGTGGGTGACACAGAGCCCAGCACATCCTGCTGGCCAAGCTTTGGGAGCCCCTGCCAGTTTGGGAGGCAGAGACACGTCCTGGGACCCACAGGGCTCAGCCAGGAGGGGCTGGATTTGGGATTTGACAGGAGCCCTCCTGGCTGAGCTCCAGCCTGGCTGCCGCAGGGACAGGAGAGCGGCGCTTCAGCCAAGGGGTGCAGGAGGAATGGAGCCCCCCAAAACAGCCCAGCTCCAGAGGGCTCTGGGGAGCAGCGCCCAGCCCTCGCTCAGTGCCCCCTGCACCGCTGGTCCCAGCGTGTGGCTGCTGCCAGGGCTGGCGTGGGGACCGTGCCATGCTCCCCGTCACCCCTGCGAGCTGCCAGGGGCGCTGGGGCTCCCCAGATGAAGGGAGGAGGAGGGTCCTGGTGCTGCAGGGTGAGATGGGATGGGTGCCAGGCAGGGACAGCAGCCAGGCGGGAGCAGAGGGGCAGCAAGAGGGAGACAAAGCTGCTTTGTGCCGGGAAAAGGGGTGTGGGG